TAATTGTTCACCATAAATAAGTTGATTGATTGTATACTGTTTAACGTCCCTCTCCAGAATATTTCACTGATATGGAGACGTCACCATTGCCGGTGAATGGCTGCAAATTTGGGCCTATGCTCGGCACTCAGGGCCATTAAGTAGGGAGGGATCTTTATCGTGCCACACCTGCTATGACACGGGGCCTCGGTTTATACGGTCTCATCCGAAGGACCGCCCCATTTAGTCGCCTTTTACGACAAGCAAGGGGGTACTGAGGACTTTTTCTAACCCGAATCCCCACGGAACTAGATAAGTTGAATGTAAATAGTTTGAATGTAAATGTTTCAAAATTTATTGAATGCTGCTCATATACACTGGTTTCGGTAATAATGTTTTAACCATAGGCACTTGGGGTATGGACCCCCCCCCCCCTTTCCATTTTTTTTTCTTTTTAAATCTGGGTTCGATTCACCTTTTACCTATTTTTCTATTCTAATATGCACTATATGTTATCAAAAATGCAACTCTCTTGTCTCTACAAGCTGTTTTTAAAAATGCCCTTTTTCACTGATACATATAAAGAGAGAAGGCTTGCAACTCTCAACATCAACCGGGACGGAAGTTCCCGGTATTTTCTGGCGTCATCATAATGTGTTATCTTATTCGGAACATCAAATTCGAGAGAGATTGAATCCCGAATTTTCTCTTTATGTAATATGTAACAGTAAGTTCGATATATAACTAGAAAGCTGTAACTAATAGATTCTTATAGATACAGATTCACTTTTAACGCACGATATAATTAACCAAATGTCATAATATTGTTTTTACAAATCCTGGATTTTTTGTAATGCAGAACATTTGTAAAATAGAGTTATCGTTCTTTGGTACTTCCGTCCCGGTTGATGCACATGAACAAAATTTACAAATATTTACAAATCGGGGGCATATGAAAATTAATTGGAAATATGAAAAGGAAGAGAAATGAATAACAAAATTATTAATGTTTGCATATACCATGTTTTATTTTGATTTAGATAAATAATCGAGCGAAGTTTAAGCGAGGTGAGGCGAATGACTAAAAGAGTTGCAAGCCTTCTCTCTTTATATGTATCAGTGAAAAACGGCATTTTTAAAAACAGCTTGTAGAGACAAGAGAGTTGCATTTTTGATAACATATAGTGCATATTAGAATAGAAAAATAGGTAAAAGGTGAATCGAACCCAGATTTAAAAAGAAAAAAAAATGGAAAGGGGGGGGGCCATACCCCAAGTGCCTATGGTTTTAACCCGTAAAATTATAATAACACAAGGTATGTAACTCCATATAAACAGATTAGTACCCTCTCCCCAAGAATCGCATTTACACTTGCAGAAGAAATGTATACTAAAATTGATTACACCTATGTTTTCTACAATAATTTTATTTACACAACCATATATGGCATGTTGTCTTTAATTTCTTAAGGACATGATTTAATAAAAAAAGGATGTCTGGATAGGTATATATTTTTTGACACCCCCCTTTCACAAACTTTGAAATAAAAGCATGGATGATGTATATAGACAGTTTTTTCCGTTTAAATTTTTATTAGATATCATATATACCATTTTCGATTTAAAATTCAGCTCTGTATAGCAAAACATACGATATACAGTCAAATTTAGTTAATGTAACTCGATGTCAAATTTCGATCTTCCAGCTGAAGATGCATGTCTTTTTTTTTCACAAAATCGATATATTTCTGCGAATTCAAAAAGGCATCATATAGAACACATACCAAACAACCAATCACATTTCGATGACGCTTAGGGCCTGATATTTATATATTTATACTTGTCGGCCTGAGGACTTTTACAATCTCTTACAGGAGCCCTGTAACACAACACAAAAAGAACAGTATGGACCTTCTCTCCGGCATTTGTTTAATTGTTGTCTACTTTACGGTGGCTCGAGTTACCATGTGTTGTCGGAGATATGTTAGAAACCCAAACTTTGATGATAAAAAGTCAGATGTCGATCTTTTGAGAGAATACAACGCTAAGACGATGCCTGGGTGTGCCATGTTTTGTCAAAAAGAATGCGGGGTGTTTGGATACAATAATTACCTGAAGAAGTGCCGGACCTACAAAAATCTCAATACTTCTTCAGTTTCTCAGGAGGCCGGCTGGAGATATATGTTTTCTGATCATAGGTATTGCTTTTTCCCTCTCTCCCAAAAGTACCTGAGGTAGCAAATACGTTCACTTGCTATTAAATACTTTGTAGTTTTCTTCAATATCGTTAATAACAAACCTTTAATTACCGGCTGCCAGGAAGCGGTCGGTTATATGATATGAAAGTTTTAAGTCGGCGTGCGTTTCTGCAGAATTAGAGCAATTTGAATAAAATATATTTCACATTCATGTAGTAGAATATCAAGAAAGAGAAAAAATTGAAATTTTATAAATAATGGGTTAAATGTTTCATCCAATCCTATTTGACAAACTCCTACGTAACTGAAGTGTGGAAAAAATAAGCACATGTATACATGTATAAACAAGACAGCTGCCTTACCGAGGACTCGGCCGACTCGAGCGACTTAAATGAAATCACCTGTTTCTATTTATAGATACATGTACCTTTTTTATTCAAAATCATGTATGTAATCATTTGTGGACCACACTTATATTTTCATGGTTGCAAGTTTGTTGCATGACAATACTTCTACTTGTTCAATACTCTAATTCTAAACAAGATTAACAGAACATTTTAAAATAAAACAAGCAAGCAGCTATGACTTTGGGTCATTAAAATAGTTTAAGACTTTTTTCCGAGATACTTTCCAGGTGTTATGTTGTATTATATCTTTCTCACATTATTTATACTTGTATTATAACATAATATGAAAAAACATAGGAAAAATGCAAAGAAAGAAAAAAGAATAAAGTAGAAGTTACGAATTACGCACTGTGAGACTCAAACTCACTATCGTTAACTATTCACAAGTTGTTTTCTGGTCAGGAATAGTGGATGTGGAAATACAGAATACTGGATCCCTGGCGTTCCAAGAGCACGACAGAGAGATCACAAGTGTAGAAATAATTAATGCGGCAAAATATAAAAAAAAAAACCCAACCCCCCCACCCCCCCCCCACAAATTAGGCGTACGTGGGATATCTTTACATTTTTAAAAACATTAAACTTTCATATCAAATCTTTTGGAACAGTATGTCATTGTTTGTACTCACAAACGTCCATATCTTTTTTGAAAAGGAGGGCGAGGCACAAGTAATTTGTTTCTATTGATCCTTATATTCTCAGAAAGTATACATATTATTTTACACAAGATGAAAACATATAATTGATTTTTAAAATATAAAAAAAGAAATAATACTTCCGTCGAAACAATTTATAACACTAACAAAATCATTGTTTGTGGAAAATACGAATTTATTAATCTTCTGAAATCATAAAATTTTAGTTTGCTATTTTTGAAATTTTCTAGAAGTGCACAATACTTTACACGCTTTCAGACTATTTTACCATAAATATTTCAGTTGTCTCTTTAGAAGTCTAAAATTGTTTTATTGGGTTTGTCTTTCAATGCTATGTACGCGGTAACAAATTTTCTACAGAATACTTAATATAAATGCAAGGCATATAGTGACAGTCTGATAAATTCGCGCATATTTCAAATCGCAGATCTAATAGAAAGTGAGATTTTGCAGAATTATAACCCTGTAAAAATGTATGTCTTCAGTATTTTATCAACTCTAAAATATGACGTTTTTTATAAAATAAATGAGAAGAGTTCGAGTAAAAAAATGAAGGAAAAATGTAACAGTTATACATTAGTTTCATTCACAAATTGATTAGGTTGATTCAGCAATTGTTTGGCAAGGTATTCCACCAGGACTCTCTACTTATCTGTCCTTATACATTCCACAACTATTGATACTGCATTGAAATCAAAAGCACATTTGTCCCAATCCAACAGACGTCCATCGCGAAAGAGTTTAGCTTAGTTAAGTAATCGCGATATTAAATATTGAAATTGTTAAATGGGTTAATGAGATATTTTTCTTAAAGAGAGATTATTCTTCTAAGCCAAAGGCTCAAAGAGCAAAATGCTATGGCCATTTGTGCAGTGTGCGTAAACTTTTAAGAAAATGGGCCATAACTCAGGAACCCCTTGGCCAATTATTGTCAAATTTGTCAGGGAGTATTCTTGGCCCAAGGGCTACTATTTATTTGTATTCGAGAACTAGGGTTGGTGCCCTGAAACAAGGGGAGATAATCAAAAAAATAAAACCAAAAGTACTGGTTGTTAAATAAAAATCTTCTCTAGAACTACCAGGCAGATTTTCAACAATCTTCCATCCAAGGGTCATGATATGTCGAAGATTAAAAAATGTGCAAGCTGGCGCCCTGGTACATAGGGCGTGGTCTCAAGGTCACCTCAAAGTTGACCAACATTTACACTTAAGTGAAATGTAATTTTGGTTACTATAAAGATAAGGATCATCAAATATTGTAATCTTAGGACTTCACATCATATAAACAAAATAGTAGGCCAAATTGATTTGGATGCATATCTTAGCTTATGATTATCAAACTTCGTCAGTGGATGCATCTTATGTCCTCGAACAACATCAACTTAAAAGTATGTTTTAAATTTTACGGGCATTTGTTTTCAATTTGTTTCAAATTGTGTATAAAGTTCAGCCTATAATCATCCAACTTTGGCTGCTTTTTTTAAACTTCGGAAAATGTCGAACAAAAAGCTGGTGACCTACTTTTGATATTTTATGGCTATATTTAAGTATCTTAGGCTCATTGTCCCATAACCAAATATATTCGACTTTTAGATTTTCGGAGAATGTTGACCATAAAGTAAGTCACAGTGACCTACTTCTGAATAACTCTGGTTCTTTATATTTTAAAAGGCATCTGCTTTTGCATGGCTTTTTGATTTTTTTATTTACCAAAAAAAAATCTTTTAAAATTCACTCTTTTATTTATTTTAAGTTTTCCCTATGGATTGTAAGGAACTTCATGAAAATGGCCAGTGGCAATCAGGTGTGTACGATATATATCCTCCTGGGACGAGATCTCTTCCGCTGAAGGCTTACTGTGATATGAGTACTATGGGAGGAGGCTGGACGGTATGTAGTTTTGGAATCAATTAATGTAATTTTGAATCTCTGGTTATGCTTTTCAGGATGTAGGTTGATAATTTGTTGTGCATCTAGAATATAAAAATTCAACATTGATGTTGAAATTTGCTACACAACAAATTTCTACCAAGCTACTGATCTAATTTTTAGCTCTACTGGTTAGAGATCACAGGATATGATGCGATAGTAATGCATTCGGCGTCCTACCTACCAAAATGCTACTCCTCCTACGGTTTTGATCTGATTTCAATATAACTTGGCACTCGAGTAGACTACACTCGGATACATAGTTATGTTCCCCAAACGAAGTTGGGGAACATATTGTTTTTACTCTGTTTCTTATTATTATTATTTTTCTTCTTCCTGGGCACTTTTTTGTCCGCGAATGATCTCGTAAACTACACATCTGACTAAGGTGAAATGTTTTTAGGGTCAGTAGACATGTTACGTAGATTTGCCGAACGAAGGTCATTTTGCGCGCACGTGCTTGCAAGAGCGCGCACGTGCAACACGAGAAATGATCAATATAATGCATATAAGCGTAACTTTTTAAATTTTTGATGAAATGCTTTGAAACTCATAATATAAGGATATATTAGTAACATAGACAATATGACATGGCCAAAATAGCAAGATCTCACGCGCATGCACGTGTGCTTCGCTCTGATTGGCTGAAACTAAAGTCTTAATATCTTTCTTCTTTTTTGACAAAATCCTTTGAAATTTTGAACTTTGCCATGCATTAGGATATTCTACAACATGATATATAGCAATTTTCATGAAAACACGTGCATGCACGTGCGCTGCAATCTGATTGGCTCAAACTTTAAATAGCTATAACTCCCTTGGTTTTCAACCAAACAGGATGGGATTTGAAACATAGATAGATATAATGGGCTTCTACAAGAAGGTATGGTCAAAATGCACATGCATATGCACATGCATACACGTGTGTGTACTTTGGCTGTAATCTGATTAGTTGAAACTAAAAACAGCTATAACTTCCTTGGTTTTCAACCAAACGGGGTGGGATTTTGAACATAGATAGATGTAATGGACTTCTACAATAGGGTATGGTCACCATGCTCATGTATGCACGTGCATGCACGTGAAATGAGTAAATTCAAAAATACACTTGAATGAGCGTATTTTTATGCCCCCCTTCGAAGAAGGGAGGGCATATTGCTTTGCTGCTGTCTGTCGGTCGGTCTGTCGGTCCGTCGGTCTGTCGGTCCACTTAGTTTCCGTTCATTTTCTTCAAAACCGTTGCACCTACTGAAATGAAATTTGGTATACAGATATATCACATGAATATCTAGGTCGAGTTCTGTTTTGGGTATGATCACATCATTTTTGTCAGAGTTATGCCCCTTGGACTTAGAAAAAATTCAATTATTTGCCGTTTCCGTTCATTTTCTTTGCAACCGTTGTACATATTGAAATGAAATTTGGTATACAGATATATCAAATAAATATCTAGGTCGAGTTCTGTTTTGGGTACGATCGCACCATCTTTGACAGAGTTATGCCCCTTGGACTTAGAAAAAATCCAATTATTTGCCGTTTCCGTTCATTTTCTTTGCAACCGTTGTACATATTGAAATGAAATTTGGTATACAGATATATCAAATAAATATCTAGGACGAGTTTTGTTTTGGGTACGATCGCACCATCTTTGACAGAGTTATGCCCCTTGGACTTAGAAAAAATCCAATTATTTGCCGTTTCCGTTCATTTTCTTTGCAACCGTTGTACATATTGAAATGAAATTTGGTATACAGATATATCAAATAAATATCTAGGTCGAGTTCTGTTTTGGGTACAATCGCTTAATTTTTGACAGAGTTATACCCCTTGGACTTGGAAAAATTCCAATTTGGGGGGAGGGGGGCATAAGTGTTTTACAAACATCTCTTGTTAAAATACTTTTGGATTAAATGCTTTAATATTTAGTATATTGAAATATATAGATTGTGTAGACAAGATGATATGGTCATTACGCAGATGCGTTCACATGCGCGCGCGTGCAATGCTAAAATTTGAATGAACTTCTGGGTAAACGTTGTTAAAGTCTCAAATGCATGGGATTGTCTTATTTAATGAAGCTTACAGGGAATATGGCACCAAAAGGGGGTTGGGGAGCGTTTGGGGAACATCTGTAACGGTCCCCGTTACAATTAGCACTAGTTTTATCTGCTTTTGATTTGAATTAACTATGCTGCCATGGTTAAAAAATTAAAGAAATATTTTCAAAATGCTTTTCCTCCTACAGTTTTGGTCTGATTTTTATATAACTTGGCACAGAAACAGACTACATTAAGATACACAATGCTGTTTATTGGTTTTCGTTTGAATAAACAGTGTTGCCGTGGTTACTAAATATAGAATTTTCTGTAAAATTCTTTCCAAATGCTACTCCTCCAATAGTTTTGGTCTGATTTCAATGTAATTTTACATAGAAGTAAACTTTACTAACATACCCAATCCTGTATATCATTTTTTGATTTCGATAAACATTGCCTTGGAAATAGAAATTTCTGTAATATACACACCCTGAGACGTACAACTACCCCAAAAAAGCGTGTGGCTTTCGTGCGCTTTCCATTTCGTGCAAACCGTGTAGCGTTTCGTGTAAACCGTGCAGCGTTTCGTGCAAACCGTGTAGCGTTTCGTGTAAACCGTGCAGCGTATCGTGTAAGCTCCAAAGCGTTTCGTGCAAACCGTGTAGCGAGCGTGCGAAAAGCGTGTGAGAAACGTGCGACTTTCGTGCAAGAATCGTGTAAGATTCATTCGGAAGTCATTTCCTTTTAAATATGGCTATCGATGGGTCAGGATGTAAAATTCTATTAGTATTTTATAATTGAATTAGTTATGCTTGTGATATTATAGGAGTAAAAGCAAAAAAAAAAAAAACATGGAACAACCAAATTAAATTAAACGGTAATGCATGATTTATATTTGTTTGATTTCTTTTCCTTCTATAGAAAATGTGTTCAAATAAATCAGCTATGTACAACGATTTTAAGTGCATTGTATTCAATATACTACATGTATTAACGCGATCGTGGCTTCTTAAACATTTTTTCTCAAAGAAAGAAAGAAATACCGGTTATATTCTTTTTTTTTAATTTAAATCAAAAATATATCAGGACTCCCCTCTTGTCTTTACATTTTAAACGATGTGCCATTTAGTATCTTTTAATAATAAAACTTGTTGCTTATTATTGTCAAAAAAAATGGATTTTATAATTTTAATTCACGTGCACTGACGACCATATCTTTATAAACGAGAAGGGGGGGGGGTGAATTAAATTACTAGACAGTTCTGTCTTTCATTTTTTATTGTAGCTTTCAATCTAATGTTAGTTTAATTAAATGCTTTATTTTCTATTCTTTTTAAAATTCGTTGTTAAATGTATGCACAGATACACCCCTTATAAATGTATTGGAATCTTCTTTCCGCCTTTCAACTGTCATCAAGGTCATTTACAACAGCGATCACGGGCTCCGAGGGCATTGCAAATGAAAACCTGTTTTTTTATATGTACATGTTAAGTTCACGGCTTAATGACAGCTGGAAATTACGACTGGATTTTTTTTTAAATAAAACGGTTCTAATGGTTCTACAAGTATTTGATGGGTACAACTTATGAATCAGCAGATTTCATCTTTTATTTGTAAATCCGAATTTCTAGCCGTAAACAGTAAAATAAACAGAACTGATATGGACGTCTTTTTTTCGTAAGAAAAGCTTAGGAGTAAATCATGAATAATTGTATATTATTTGTTTAATAAATCACGTATTATTTAATTTATCTAAGATGTTTCAGTTTTCTTGTAACATACCTGAATGCCGGTATAAAGATCGATCTATATTGTATGTATAATGTATGGTCAAATGCCGCGACTATTAATAAATTTACACATACAAACATACTTTTAGTCATGTTTTGAAATGAAGGATTTTACAGTATGATGGGTATACTGATGTAATTTGATAAGCTTCATGTAAAAAGAGAATAGAATAGATTAATAGATCACATTAACTCCCCCCCCTCCTGTACGCCCTTAAAGCTATACCGGTTTCCCTCCTATTGCAAATGCTTGCGTAAAAAAAATCTTTAAAAATGTTTCAATAATCCTTAAAAGAGTATATAGGCAAATTTAATTTACAATTTAAAATTAAAATTAAAAAAAATACGCCTACGGAAATCAAACACATGCAATATAATCAATATTATTAAAAATCAATGAGTTTATATTCCTGCGGTGAGAAGTCGAATTTGTGTTCAATTTATTAAATCAATTTATCAAATTATACTCGTAAAAATATTACATTGAAATAAATGACTTATACCTGTATATAAAAATTGTATCTTATCATACAGTCATTTACGATATCGGCATTTAGTTTTTAAACAGTTGGATAAATAAATAAATAAATTCGAACTGACAATTATTTATCAATTAATTACAACTGTCAGAGTATTGAATATTTCTATCGGTTTTTATAATACAAGTGTACTAAATTTCATTTAAACAGCTGCTTAATGTGGTTTTTGAGCGATTTTCATTGAATTAATGATAAAGCGGTAAAAATACCCGGGATATTCCGAGTAGAAAAATCCAAAACGAGGCCAAACCGTGCGAGAATCGTGCACAAAGCGTGTGAGAAACGTGCAACCTTTCGTGTAAACCGTGCAGCCTTTCGTGCAAAGCGTTTCGTGTAAACCGTGTAGCGTTTCGTGCAAACCGTGTAGCGTTTCGTGTAAAACGTGCAGCGTTTCGTGCAAACCGTGTAGCGTTCGTGTACCGTTCGTGCAGCGAGCGTGTGGGGTAGTAGCACGTCTCAGGGTCTGTTCCCTCAAAATGCTACTCCAAATACAGTCTTTGCCTGATTGTAATATAATGTGGCATGCAAGTAGACTACACTAAGAACAGAAAGATACAGTCAAGGATCATTGTTTTATTTATTGCTGTAGTGAAGTCTCAATTCCATACTGCTACTTTTCTCTTCTTTTGCTGTAAGTACAAACCAGCAGAGCTTCAGTCTCGACAGAGACTTCTGGTTTATATACTGAGTCTGGACAGGGCAAAAAATCGTTATTTTAAAGTTGACCCAACATACATAGCATAATAATATATTATTCATGCATTTTTTCAAGGCAATTCAAAAGCGAATAAGTGGTTCCCTGAGCTTTAAGCAGAGTTGGTCCGAGTATAAAAATGGTTTTGGTACACCGGACCAGAATGTCTGGATTGGTAAATATAAATTGTTAATCCATTCAATAATTTGGACATATCCAATGATATTTATATAAAAAATTACAAATTTATAGCGATTTATTATAAATTTTAGACCAATTTATATTAAATGTGTATTTGGCGTATTCACAAACTATTTCAATTTTCCAGACTTACAAACATTTAAGGAAAATTATGCATATTTAAAGTACACAGCATCATTTTGAAATTCACTTTTTGAATCTTAGATACCTCCTAAACGTATATTTCAAAAATATTTTACATCAGCATAAAAATGTTTGATATGAATAAATCTTTAAACAGGAAATGACGCAATAAATCAATTAACAAAGCGGAGAAACTCATTCTTGTACGTCTCCATCACACTGGTGAATGGAACCACACTGTATGAGCTGTACGATCAATTCTCCGTCTCTGATGAAACACAAAAGTATCAACTCTTTCTGGGAGGACCTGCCACAGGAACTTTAGGTATGTGACAATGAACATGTATCATGCCGAAGAAAGAAAATAGAGGAGAGGATGAGAGAAAAAGATAGATAACAAAAGTATAAAGTGAATTCTGGCCTAAGTTAAGGAGTACATATTGTAAATAGCCATAATACATGTATATCAAAGATATATACATTACACATGTTCTCATTGTTCTTCTATCTCATTTCAAGACAACAATAAAAAAATCCTAGTGCATCTGTATTGTGTCGTGATACATCACATCATGATTTTGTCATAGTACATCACACCTGTATTGTGTCATAGTACATCACACCTGTATTTTGTCGTAATACATCACACCTGTATTGTGTTGTTGTACATCACACCTGTATTGTGTCATAGTACATCACACCTGTATTGTGTCATAGTACATCACATCATGATTGTGTCGTAATACATCACACCTGTATTGTGTCGTAATACATCACATCTGTATTGTGTCGTAATACATCACATCTGTATTGTGTCGTAATACATCACACCTGTATTGTGTCTTAGTACATCACATCTGTATTGTGTCGTAATACATCTCATCATGATTGTGTCATAGTACATCACACCTGTATTGTGTCATAGTACATCACACCTGTATTGTGTCATAGTACATCACACCTGTATTGTGTCATAGTACATCAAACCTGTATTGTGTCATAGTACATCACATCATTATTGTGTCGTAATACATCACACCTGTATTGTGTCGTAATACATCACATCTGTATTGTGTCGTAATACATCACACCTGTATTGTGTCTTAGTACATCACATCTGTATTGTGTCGTAATATTCACATCATGATTGTGTCATAGTACATCACACCTGTATTGTGTCATAGTACATCACACATGTATTGTGTCGTAATACATCACATCTGTATTGTGTCATAGTACATCACATCTGTATTGTGTCATAGTACATCACACCTGTATTGTGTCATAATACATCACATCATTATTGTGTCGTAATACATCACACCTGTATTGTGTCGTAATACATCACATCTGAATTGTGTCGTAATACATCACATCTGTATTGTGTCGTAATACATCACTACTGTATTGTGTCGTAATACAACACATCTGTATTGTGTCGTAATACATCATATCATGATTGTGTCATAGTACATCACACCTGTATTGTGTCATAGTACATCACATCATTATTGTGTCGTAATACATCACACCTGTATTGTGTCATAGTACATCACACCTGTATTGTGTCATAGTACATCACACCTGTATTGTGTCATAGTACATCACACCTGTATTGTGTCGTCATACATCACACCTGTATTGTGTCATAGTACATCACACCTGTATTGTGTCATAGTACATCACACCTGTATTGTGTCATAGTACATCACATCTGTATTGTGTCATAGTACATCACACCTGTATTGTGTCATAGTACATCACACCTGTATTGTGTCGTCATACATCACATCATTATTGTGTTGTTATACATCACACCTGTATTGTGTCATAGTACACCACACCTGTATTGTGTCGTAATACATTACATCTGTATTGTGTCATAGTTCAACACACATGTATTTTGTCATAGTACATCGAACCTGTATTGTGTCGTAAAACATTACACCTGTATTGTGTCTTAGAACATCACACCTGTATTGTGTCATAGTACATCACACCTGTATTGTGTCTTAGTACATCACATCATTATTGTGTCGTAATACATTACATCTGTATTGTGTCATAGTACAACACACCTGTATTGTGTCATAGTACATCACACCTGTATTGTGTCATAGTACATCACATCATTATTGTGTTGTTATACATCACAACTGTATTGTGTCATATTACATCACATCTGTATTGTGTCTTAGTACATCACATCTGTATTGTGTCTCAGTACATCCACAGGAGTCCGAAGTTTAAATCGTCAAAAAAAAAAAATCCGGAAAAAATTCCCTACCCTTAATTAAAAAAAAAACCCAGGATGGCAACGTGTTTTGGGGGACCCATCAATACAAATAGATCTGGGCTCGGCCAGAAAAATCTCGCGACTAATTCAGTTTGCGGAGCATTTTTGTTATTTATTCAATGTGAAAAATTCCATCTGTTTGACGACGACGGGTCGCTCCTAGCCCTTTTTCCACTTTGACAGCTCATTCTGGACTCCATGCCACTAAACCGGAATAGAATCTTGCAGTGTATATTTGACGTTTATAAAAAATTGTCAAATGAAATAAAATAATTGTTTATTGTTATTTTATTCAGTTATTTTGAAATTTATTTAATAGAACTGTAAAAATATATTAATTCTTTTCTTACTTGTTTACGATGTGTATCAGGGACAGATGATTTTGTTTTTACAAGCGCCAAATTTATATCACTAAAAAGCCATGTCGACAAAGAGCCAAACAGTGAAACTAAATGCCCTTATAAAGCACTATTTTGTTTGAAAAATATGTCTTTTAATTGATCACGTAAGGTAACATAAAATTGTAAATGAAGTTTTACATGTAATTTTTGGTTCTTTTTTTCATATATTCACCTCGGAGTTCACTTCCGGTTTAGTGGCATGGAGTCCAGGATGAGCTGTCAAACTGAAAAAAAGGCCATGAACAGCCCGTAGTCGTCAAGCAGATTGGATTTCCTAACTTGAATAAAAAGCACAAACACTCCGGATACTGAATTAGTCGCGAGATTTCTCCGACCAAGCCCAGATCTATTTGTTTAGGTTGGTCCCCCCAAAACACGTTGCCATCCTTGGGTTGGTTTAGTAAAGGGTAGGAGTTTTTTTTTACGATAAAACGTAAGACTCCTGTGGTACATCACACCTGTATTGTGTCATAGTACATCACATCTGCATTGTATTGTTATATTTCACATCGTTAATGTTTCGTAACATATGTTTATATCCATTATATAAATCACCCTGCGTTTTAAAATTAGTCCTTAAGTCATTTAGGCCAGTATGTTTTATGACATATATTGTTAAGCTGGCTTAAAACAACTATTATCAATTATTCAATATATGTCTTTGTACACGTGTTTCTTAATAATGGGATCATTGCCAGTGGTCCCTGTGGGATTTCATTATCTATTGTTAACAATACAACTGAGTTCAGTTGAATACATTAGTTATTTTTGGGTAACTATTTCGCATGCATTCATTCTACAGGTGACAGTATGTTAAACACCACTTATGATTGGGGTAAACTGTCTGGGATGTACTTTTCAACCAAAGATAGGGATAACGATAGGTATAGTGGCCGTAACTGCGCTGCTCACTGGGGAGGAGGCTGGTGGTTTAACGAATGTCATGAAGCCTTCCTTAACGGACCCTGGTACCCGGAATACTGGCGCAAACCTTGGAATCCTACAGTGGAAACTATTGATCAGACATCGGAGACATATATAAGAGAAACGAAGATGATGATTAAACGTCACTAGGTATTCGCTCCTAGTTTATCTATGTTGTAATTACTTTATCATATCATAAGGGGTGGATCTGTATTATAGAATTTCCGAATGATGGAGACATTTTACATACAACACATGGCTTGAAAACATACCTCATTATATACTCAAAGTTGACAGTTCTTCCGATTTAAAATTCGTAAAAAAAAGTTAATGTTTAGATAATTGTTTCAGATATGCTTTCTAGACGTTAAGAATTACGCTCCCTTCTTCAAGTGATTGTAGCAACTGACAGCATAAATCTCGAACCCGAGCTATAGTGTGTAGCGTAAAATCATGCGAGGTTGATCGGGAAGGTTTTATAAAATGCTTTTGTCGGGTAACGTAACTGCTTCTGGTGTGATTCAGCATTCTTCAAGTGTAATAGTGAAACTTATAACATTTGTCACTGCATGGTCACGGTAGCGTAGTGGGAGAGCGTTCGCTTCGCAATCGGGAGGCTCGGGTTCGAATCTCCTTCAAATCATACCTTAGACGTACACATAGGTACTGACTCTTCATTTGCGGAGGACTCGGCATTATAACTGAAACTAACGGGTCTTTCGGGAATGATCCTAAAAACGTAGGTCACGGTAGACTATGGCACGATACAGTACCCTCGCTGTTCAATGGTCTAAATACGGTGACGTTTCCATATGAATGACGTTAGACTATATACAATCAATAAGTGATGGGAATCGGTAAGAATTTCATAATTGATAACTGGGTTACTCTAACTAACGAATTATCGAATAAAATTGGATATGTAAAATTATATCAACATAAACAAGTATATGGTAACCGTATAAGAATAGGTAAATGACAATTTTCTGTGATGATCCAGCTGGTCCTTTGTTAATTTTATTGAACCAAACGTACAACCATGTCCAGAAACATGCTTTGTTGTCCGAGTAGAAATATAAGAGTTTGTTTATCTGCACCATTATGTTACACAAATAAGTCAAAAGCAATGTTGTGGATTGAAAATTAGGATTAAAAACTATCATGCTAAAAAATAATATAATATAATAAACCGATTAATCAGAATTTTAAAAATGCAATCGATTGCTTGGATTATGTCAGCAATCGACTGATTTTCGATAGTAATCGATGATTGGAATACCACTACAATCAATCAATATAACATTTGTCATATAAAACGAATGTATGAAGATTTTTTTTTATATTTTAATAGGTTTTTCCCTCTCGGCAAACGAGGATTAAGAAACGGATTATACGATGATGGTCATTTTCATGATCCCGTTGAAGATTTCCTGATACATGGATTGTTTTTTCATTCATATCAATTTCTTTTTACTTTTTTCCGAATCGAAAATAAGATAATATATGAAATTGTTAGTGCGTGTTTACTTGCAGAAGATTTGTTTTTTCGCTGTTTATATCTTGACCTATTGCTATCCGTTTATGTCCGTCGGCGTGCGCCGTGCGTTATCATTTGAACTTTTTAAGCTTCTTCTCTGCAACCCCTCTACCAATTTTGGCACAAAGCATCTATGGGTGAAGGGGAACAACAGTTATGAATTTCATGGCTCCTGCTCCCTGGGATCCTGAGGGATGGGGGCGAAACCACTAAAATTTATGCAATCTTTTTAAGTTTTCTTCTATACTTCTAGACATCAAGCAATCAAACTGTTGGTATGATTGTAATCAGCAATGAGTCCTCTACCAATATTTTGAAATTCATTGCCCCAGGATCATGGGTTTTAGTGTAAGGGGAAGGGGGGGCTAAATAGATTTTATTTTGGCGTGGACGTTTAATTGAAAGGGTGTGTTAATGGAGGGGTTAAGCCAACAATAAAGGTAAACCCCAATATTCAATGCAAAGAAATTGTCTATTCTATATTTGCAAAAAAATTGGGAGACTAAGCCCCCCCCCCCCCTGGTCGGACGCCTATGCAACAAGTTCAAATAAACTCTCAATGTACATTGTCATTTTTCATAACGAAATAAATGCATATTGCCTTGAACTGTGAAATATACTAATAAGGTAGCTAAATAATTAAAATTACTGAAACCTGTACATGTAGCATACGTGATATGTTTCTACTAGGTATAAGGGAAACTGCCCAATTACGTATGCATATTATGCCCCAATCCCCTACCAAGTTAAATGATTTGCAAGTTGATTTTTGTTAAAAAATAGACAGACCCCCCCCCCATAATTTTGTTAAAAGAAATAGAGCTGAAAAACAATTGAATACCTTAAATTAAACTTTACTACCCAACATTAAGTATCAATGTTATCCCCTCCCCCCAACCAACCAAGACGCTTTGCACTGCATTTTGTTAAAAAAATGGATCAACAACAACTCTCCACTAATTATTTTGTCAAATGTAAGAGAGTTGATCCTAATGTCGCGGGTTTGAATCCCACTGTGGGACATAGAAACTGTTCCTTCGAATGTGACCGTTAGGTATCCATACATGTTATACTATACCTGCATCAAATTAGTATACTGTTTTGTTTAATTTTAAATATAAAGCAATTAAATCATTTAATACCAGCTAGTATTTATGTGTGATAGACAGCATATTAATTCAATGTATCCAGTGCGATAAGTTGAAAGTCAACATTCATTGGTATTTTAAATTTTAATTCAATAATGTACAAACCTGCATTCTTATTAATTTGAGATTCGTGAGAATCTGAAGTGCGTTAATGTTTGTACATCACACAGTGATCGGTACTAAGAATTGAAACACCACCTGATACTGAAAAGATATATATAGGGTATCTTAGAATAACTCTGACACCCAATTAAAATAATTGTTTAATTTATTCACTTTCATCCCAATGGAAATTGAATAATATTTTCACTCATATCATGAACATCTCTATTAGGCATGGCAGATGTGCAAGAGATGCAGCTTATGCCGTGGCAGAGAAATGGATTTCTATGGTTGAGAATGCCGATAAAATTGAAGATGAAATATTCATAATTCTTATTATAGAGCATTTCCAATATGTCACTGAGCATTGTGTCAGAATTTCTTTTGTTGATGCCCTACAAAATTTCAAATCAGCAGTTCCAAGGAAAAACCCCCTTTGGTATCCTGGTTAGAATAAGTCCTCAGTACCTCCTTGCATGTCGTAAAAGGCGACTAAATGGGGCGGTCCTTCGGATGAGACCCTATATATACCAAGCTCCCGTGTCACAATAAGTGTAGCACGATAAAGATACCTCCCTGCTGAAATGTCGTAAGTGCCGAGCATATTCCTAGATTTCACTTCGTTTTCTTCACATGGGGCTTTCAAAATCTATCCAGGTGCTGAAACATTGGTCATTTACTCTTGTAAATATTCTCTGTTCCTGAACCTTTTCTTTTTCGAATCTTCAACTTTGTTTAATTCCCTCCTGCTGTAGCAAGTCCCAAGATAGTTGATTTTCTTTTGAATTTGTCTACTGCAACAAATATTTACGAAATATAGATAAGAGGACGACTATTTGATTCGGGGGGGGGGGGGGTCAGTATGATTAGTAAATAATTGTGTATAACCTCACATTCTGTACCGTTCCATATGACTACATTTTCTCTCCACGCTCTATAACACAAGTCAGTTCAATATATACATATGTCCATAAAAGTATGTATGCTTAAATACTAAGCTAATCCACAACCTTTTGAATAATCTTTGATGATTTTGTTATTCTTACACTCTTAGAATTTTCTTTCAGTGGTTCTGAAAATATATATCTAATACTATTTTTTGTGTCACTAGCATGAATTTGTCTCAGTTTTGGCAAACTAAGTCCACAAAGAACCAATTTTCGAAGTGTTGAAGCTGACACAACTTTGCCTCTTAACAATAGCTCTAAAGACTCTTTTCATGTGTAATATGATAAATAAAAAAACATTTTCAGACACTGCACTTTCTGACAAACATTAATTAGAGTAATATAATTTTTCCAATGCAGTTACATCTGCCATTGCATTATGGGCCCCACATTCCTCTCCTAATAGACTGTGAACTAGTGTCGTCTCTTGTTTGTAGTTAGGAAGCTGGACATCTTTCAGTAACTTCTTGGAAATCTTTAGATTGTCAAAAAAATCCAGTTACAGTTTTATAAAATCTTTCAAGAAGATCACAGTCTCCTAAATGGTGTCGCAAAATTGGTATGTCAAAGTTTTGAATGTTATGCCCCACTAATACTGGATGGTTAAAAGACTCCAAAGATATCAGAAACTTGGTGAGTGCTTCGGGTGGAGTAACTGCAGCCACTGCGTCTCCCTTATAGCAAAGGCTATTTCCATCAAACGTCTAACAGGTTACTTCAGATGCTTCCTTGCTGATGGATCGAGTCGGCAAAACATAAACTGAGAGCTTCTTTTCTTGGCACTTTGCTGCAATTGGACATTTTCGGTTGGGTGAACATTTACGGATCTTCAGTACGGAGCGCATTATGCGCAAAAGATATTTTATGTCAAGTACAATGTATGGAAAGTAATTTAAACTACTATGTTTACACCCTGAATGGGAGATCGTCAATAATCCCTTTTGGTTTTTTAATATGAACTACAAAACATATGTAGATGAAACTTACATACCATACATCTTGCCTTCTTAGAAATATAGATGGGCTAATAAAATAAAATTGGTCAAGGAATTCCAGGCCTCTAAAAACTATTCCAGTTTTAGGGCACAACCAAGCATTTCGATAAACACCATTAAGAAAAATTAATTCAGGTAGGTAGCATCGTTTTTTTTTTTTAAATGGGTGGGGGGATAGACCAGTAAGAATAAAAATCAACAAGCTCGAAGAAATGTGACAAGTAAAATAGGCTCCAATATCTATCAGTACTAAATTTTATTCATTCATTACAATTTACTGCCAAACTCCAAATTTCACTTTCGAATTAGCACGAGCCAATGCTGATAACCTACTTGCAAGATTTTTTATATTCTTTTCAAGGGTCAGAAATACTGTGGTTCATATGTAAAGAATATAATTATATTATTTAGTAGTATTCTGGTTTTGGCATTCGGTATATTGTGCAGATTTATACATGATATTCTGTGGAATACTTTTTGTTATTTTGAACCATTAAGAAATGCAGAATCGAATGTATCTAATACAGTGCAGGGAACTAATTTTGTTACGTAAACCAGCATCAGGATCAGCATAAGTAGGATCAGGATAGAACTAGCATCAGCATCAGCATTTAAAAAAACAGCATTACTTGGATCAGCATCAGCAAGAAGCTAGCATTGACCAAAGTGAAAACAGACAAATGAAAGTCATTTAATACAAATAACAAATTAAAATTACCCCCAAAATTATTTTTAATGGCTTAAAATAGCGATGCTGTTTTTGAATTATCCACTTCCAGCAGGATAATCCTACTTCCGGTAGCAAGCAAAGGAAGCATCAAAATCAGCAAGCAAAGGAAGCACCAAAATCAGCATTTATGCTGTAACAAAATTATTTCCCTGCACTGTAACCATTTTGATTGATCAATTAATTATATCATTTGTTTGTTTATTTTGGCACAACATGGTTTCCACACTTCTTTATCCATAGTCGCTGACAGCTGTAGAAGTTCACCCAACCGAAAATGTCCATTAGGAGTATATCAGATGTTCGTCCTATAGTAAAAATCAAAATGTGTGATCTTATGATATTGGAATATTCAATGTTAGGATAACAGAGGATTTTGATAATATATTGTACGATTAACAAACATCTATAAATTTTACATGGACTGAAATTCAAAAAATAAACAAACGTAATCCTCCCGTTTCCAAATCAAAGAACACCATCGGACGTGTATGCATATTATCAACAGGGGCATCCAGTTCAATATCATCTATGTCTATGTTCTCTTCAGCCTCTAAACAGATGTTTGGCTTATATATATCTCCTTGAAAAACAATTCTTTTTTTCCAGACGATGGGATAGATATGAAAAAGAAGACATTGACACCTTGTCAGAATGGATTAAATGTATCAGATCCATGTTAAAGTCACGTATTAAAAGATTGAGGGGCAAAGTGAAAACCATCTATCCTTCTGTGTTCAATAAACCAGAAGTGAAAAAAGAATTAGATAGAATACACGATCAGTACGTACTGGTTCCTGCCGACAAAGCAGGTAACAACATTGTCTTCGTTTGTAAAGCTCATTATATAAATTGCATTCTAGAAGAACTTGGATTTAATTCTACAAGTGGTAATCCTACTTATACATATTCTTCTCTATCTAAGGAAGAAATTCTTCAGAATCACCTGTCAGTTTTGAATACTTTTAATATTCCACAGAGCCAAAATGAATTTGAACTACCTTATATATATTGGATTCCGAAACTTCATAAGAGTCTTTACAAACAAAGATACATTGCAGGTTCCAGTAAATGTTCAACCAAGCCTCTTTCGTTACTTCTCACTAAAATATTGACACTAGTGAAGGAAAAACTTGAAGAGTACTGTACAACAATATATTCAAGAAGTGGTGTAAATCAGATGTGGATACTTAAAAATTCTAAAGAACTTTTGGACAATTTGAAATCACAAGACTTTACAAAAATCAACAGCATAAAAACTTACGACTTTTCAACTTTATACACAACAATTCCCCACGACAAATTAAAATCCAGGCTTTTTGATATCATTGACAGCTGCTTCTTCAACAAAAATGGAACTCGTAAGTTTACTTACCTCGTCATTGGTCATTTGAAAAATTATTGTGTTAAAACAGATTCTGATTGCACACATAAGTACTCTGAAGTTGACATCAAGAAGATGCTTTAGTTTCTGATTGACAATATCTATGTGGTTTTTGTAGACCAGGTATTCCAACAATCTATTGGAATTCCCATGGGTACAAATTGCGCTCCTCTTGTCAGCGATTACAATATTTATCATTGAATGAAATGCTGACTAACGTTTTTCATACCAATTGTTAGTCTGATTGACAATATCTATGTGGTTTTTGTAGACCAGGTATTCCAACAATCTATTGGAATTCCCATGGGTACAAATTGCGCTCCGTTATTAGCAGACTTATTTTTATATTCATATGAAGCAGAATTTATGCAAAATCTTTTACGTGAAAAAAAGAAAACACTTGCTGTGGCCTTCAACTGGACATTTAGATATATCGACGACGTATTGTCAATTAATAATGATAATTTCCATTCATACGTCGACACGATATATCCTGGTGAGCTTGAGATAAAAGATACCACAGAGTCCGACACTTCTGCTTCATACTTGGATATTTTACTTGAAAAAGACACTAATGGTAATCTAACAACCAAGCTATATGATAAACGTGATGACTTTAATTTTTCTATCGTCAACTTCCCTTACTTATGCAGCAATATACCTTCATCACCTGCATACGGAGTATTTATATCTCAGTTGATTCGATATGCAAGAGCATGCTCTGCGTATGAACAGTTTCTTAAACGAGGTAAATTATTGACAAGCAAGTTGATGAAACAAGAATATCAACAGTCTCGTTTAAAGTCATCATTTCGTAAATTCTATGGTCGATACAATGACCTTGTCAGCAAATACAATTTATCATTGAATGAAATGCTGAATGACGTTTTTCATACCAATTGTTAGTCCATTATTTATACACTGAATTGACCACGGATTTTTTCCGTTATATCCTGATTTTGACAACGAGCACACGGCGGGTGGGACCGGTCGGCAGGGGATGCTCACTCCTCCATGGCACCTGATCCCACCTCTGATGTTTCGGAGGTCCGTGTTTGCTCTGCACTTATTTTGTATATTTGTTTAATGGACGTTGAGATTGAATACTGTTCGTTATTTCCATATCCTTATTGTATCAATATACATGTACGAGTAAATATATTAAAGATAATGAAACCGCTAAAAATTAGCCAATATTAAATAGATGTACTTGCACATGTACCTTCAAGAACAGACTGCGATGTATTCTTATATTGCCTTTCAACTTTCAGTTCCAGTCTTCTTCTTTTCACGCTTGGCTGTGCATTTCTCAGGCGCTTTCGTTTCAGCTTAGCATCCTTGCGTCTCATGTGTCTCAAGGTATGTGTACCGGATGATAAAGAACGAGATTTATTCAGCTACAAATGAAAGTTACCAAATTACTAAACATTGAAACACATAATTACTAGTACTCATTTTATTGTGGGGAAACAATCATAATTATTGTGGAAGTATGCAAAATATAAATATTTTTATAAATTGTAGATTTAGGTCAACTTCAAAGTGACCTTGAGGCCACGCCCTTTGCCTCAGGGTCTTGCCTGGCTGTTCTGCAGAAGAAGATTTTTTAGCAACTAGTACTTTTGGTTAGGGGGGGGGGTGTTGAATGATTTATTATTGTTTAACGTCTCACTTGAAATTTTTCACTCATAAAGATACGTCACCGTATGCCGGAGAAGGGCTTCAAATTTAGACCTATACTCGGCACTCAGGGCCATTGAGCAGTGAGGGTTCTTTATCGTGCCAGCGCCTACGGTGACACGGGACCTACGTTTTTAAGGCCATAACCGAAAGATCCGTGATTTTCACTTCTAGTGCCGAGCGTTTGGCGAAGGAACAGTCACTACCTTTGTTTACGTCTTAGGTATGATGCGGCATCGCGAACGAGATTCGAACCCGGGCCTCCCGATCACGAAGCGAACGCTCTACCACTATGCTACCGTGACCGGTGGGGGGTGTAGTAAAAATTGTGTCTTTAAATAATTATGTTCAGACATTTTAAAATTCATGTTGAAGAAGTAACTTGGTTATTCAGGTGGTAAAAGGAACCTTGGAGACTCCAGTTGTTGAAGAAACCTTGTTCACACCAGTGGTAGATGGAACCTTGGACACTCAGGTGAAAGAAGGAACCTTGGACACTCAGGTGAAAGAAGGAACCTTAGACACTCCAGTGGTAGAAGGAATCCTGGACACTCCAGTGGTAGAAGGAACCTTGGACACTCCAGTGGTAGAAGGTACCTTGGACACTCAAGTGGAAGAAGGAACCTTAGACACTCCAGTGGTAGAAGGAACCTTGGATACTCCAGTGGTAGAAGGAACCTTAGACATTCAAATGGTAGACGGAATCTTGGACACTCCAGTGGTAGAAGGAACCTTAGACACTCAAATGGTAGACGGAATCTTGGACACTCCAGTGGTAGAAGGAACCTTGGACACTTCAATGGTAGAAGGAACCTTGGACATTCCAGTGGTAGAAGGAACCTTGGACACTCCAGTGGTAGAAGGAACCTTGGACACTCCAGTGGTAGAAGGAACCTTGGACACTTCAATGGTAGAAGGAACCTTGGACACTCCAGTGGTAGAAAGAACCTTGGACACTCCAGTGGAAGAAGGAACCTTGGACACTCCAGTGGTGGAAGGAACCTTGGACACTCCAGTGGTGGAAGGTACCTTGGACACTCAAGTGGTAGAAGGTACCTTGGACACTCTAGTGGTAGAAGGAACCTTAGACACTCCAGTGGTAGAAGGAATCCTGGACACTCCAGTGGTAGAAGGAACCTTGGACACTCAAGTGGTAGAAGGAACCTTGGACACTCTAGTGGTAGAAGGAACCTTAGACACTCCAGTGGTAGAAGGAATCCTGGACACTCCAGTGGTAGAAGGAATCCTGGACACTCCAGTGGTAGAAGGAACCTTGGACACTCCAGTGGTAGAAGGAACCTTGGACACTCCAGTAGTAGAAGGAACCTTGGACACTCCAGTAGTAGACGGAACCTTGGACATTCCAGTGGTAGAAGGAACCTTGGACACGCCAGTGGTAGAAGGAACCTTGGACAGGCCAGTGGTAGAAGGAACCTTGGACATGCCAGTGGTAGAAGGAACCTTGGACACGCCAGTGGTAGAAGGAACCTTGGACAGGCCAGTGGTAGAAGGAACCTTGGACACGCCAGTGGTAGAAGGAACCTTGGATACTCAAGTGGTAGAAGGAACCTTGGACACTCGGGTGGTAGAGGGAACCATGGACACTCCAATGATAGAAGGAACCTTGGACACTGGGGTGGTAGAAGGAATCCTGGACACTCCAGTGGTAGAAGGAATCCTGGACACTCCAGTGGTAGAAGGAACCTTGGACACTCTAGTGGTAGAAGGTACCTTGGACACTCAAGTGGTAGAAGGAACCTTGGACACTCAAGTGGTAGAAGGAACCTTGGACACTCAAGTGGTAGAAGGAATCCTGGACAATCAGATGGTAAAAGGAACTTCGGACACTCACTTATATCTTGTAACTCACGTTGCTGGATGTAGTTTGTAGCAGAATAAATAAATGTATATACCGAACCCTGTGTTAAGTTATTGTCAAACTCAATATGGTGGCAGTGGTGATAATACTTTTTTAAGTTAAAAAGGACTACCCAAATACTAACATGGCATCATTTCAATTTTCACTACCTGAGGATGATTCCACACGAGTTTCATCTTTCCTAATAACATTTATGGCAACAGTTTGCCTGATGTCCAGGAGTAAAGATAGGAATATTTTAAAGATTTCATTAAGTTATTGGTTTTTTGCCTTGCTCCTCAGGCCAAAAGGTGGCAGGGACTTAAAACTCAAGATTTTTGTTTCCCTTCATCCATACATGCTGTATACCAAATTTGCAAGTATTTATCTAATATTTTGTTTTGCTACTGTTTTATATATGTTAAACCCGCTTCATTCGAACCATACACATCTTATCTTAAATAATAAAAGTATGTCATTAGATAGATAATATATAAAAATTAATTATAAGATTGATTTAATGATTTGTTACAACAATCCTTACATGGAAAAAAAGTCCAACAACCTTTTTGACAAGCAGCAGTTCCTGACGGGAATTTACGATCTGTGTTGAAGTCAGCTTTGAAAAAATACTTTTATCGCTATATCTAATTATGAAGAGTATTTTTTTCTGTTAGTAGAATCCTAAGTCATGATATATCTTTAAAAACTGAATAAAATCCATAGTAATTTTTATATTAATTTGCATATTTAGAGATAATGGAAAATCATATATTTTTAACGAGGGCTAGAATATTGCCCGTGTACACTTTGTTGTTGCTACGTGCCTGAAGATAGCCTTAAATTGATATCTTTTCAGACATCTTAAACTAACTTCATGTAATATTAATCTAATTTTTACTTGAATATCTATATATATCTGATCTTACTGTATCGTGTACATATTAAAGAGCTAAAAGTGTTTCACTTTGGATGAACAAATGTTTAATTTCTTTTCATTTGCTATCTGTCTTCATTGGAGTTGTACTTCTTTTATAAATGGTTATGTTGACGTCCATGTAAAGAACACCGGGATGCTTGATGAGTATTGATAGGAAGCATGTCGAGAGTTTAAAAGAATCTTCAAAATGAGACCAGAAAACCACGTCATTTTTTTCGGGATTGTTTTAGATGAAAATATGGAATTAAAGGACATGAACAACATTGGTTCAAATCAGATTGAAACCATTCAAAAATTGCTTTTCAGGAGCTGTTTGATGAGGGGCTGCTGAAGGACGGGGGTACTTGTAAAGCTGTACAAAAATTCAACGGACATTGAGGCACTACAGCTTGGCTTTGACCATAATATGTCGCATGAACTAGCAAACCCACATGGGCCGAAGAATTATTTCTATTCAGAAGAGAGCTACGAAAAAAAATGACCGAATAAGAAAGACTTCACCTCACGCCTATAAATCGAAGATGTGGAAGGAGACCTGCGATTCAGTTCTAGGCATTATATCAAAGACAAAGCTTCACTATGTATATCATTGCATCCTGTCTTTGTGCTTATCCTCAAACGATGGCTAGAAGAACATAGAAGAGTACCATAAAGGGACATTAAAAAGACGTATTTCACCAAAATGAGTTGGACTACAAAGGGAGAGTAAAATCCCTGTTTGTTAAAGTAGGACGAAACACCCGTGAATTCATTTTAATCCATTTCTTAAAAATTATTGGAGGAAAAAAGAATACTACTACTATATTGACAACACACTCAAGTTCACTAGTGAGCACCAATCAATGTCCTTTCAATATTTCTAGAGCTACTAAAAAGATTCACTTTAAAATGATATGGCAGAAGAAAGTTAACATCTATAGCAATGTTTCAAATCTATTACATTTTCCCATAAACTTTTTTTACTCCGAAATTTCTGTTTCATAATATGAAATTTTAAATGTTCGTTACTGTCCTCATTATTGATTATAAAAATTCATCATCTATTTTTCTTCATTAAAAGTGATTCTATAAGATTCAAAATGCATTAGAATATTTAAAATTATGATGTATTAATGAAAACCATGTAAATTACACCACAATATATATGCAGATTAAAATTTTAGCTATTTTTATACGTGTCTTCATTTCGGAAGAAAATCGTAAATGTCCGTTACAGTGGTTTAAAAGGAATCTGGGCGTTATTAATGTTATGAAAAATAAGTTCATCGTTAGTTTTAATAAACTATGCCAATATAGTAGAAGCATTTTATGTATCATTGTTGTCTTTTATCTCTTTATTTTTCTTATGAGGAATATATATTGCTAAAACTTATCTAAAATACGTTAAATTCTAAATGTCCGTTACCATCATTTTGTAATCAATAATAGTATTTTATGTGAAAAGTGTTAAAGGTCTATGAAAATAAAAATAAAACCAGTAATAATTGCTGATACCAAAAGAAAAATTACCCATTCAATCCTTGCATTTACACAAAAAGCGTACTGGTAAAAATGTTCGTTATTTAAATGTTCGTTACATCCAAACAGCAAAAGCTTACAAAATCTAATTTAAGTCGGGTTTGGTATTCTATTTAAACTTAATACAAACACATGTTCTCCAAAGTATATGAGGCGGCATTTTTTAAGATGTTTGAAGACTGAATTGACCTTGGTAGGAATTTTAGAGTTGCTTGTGGTGAGTATACTTTTCTCATGAAAATTACATTACCCTAAACTATCATCTTTCTTTACAATCTAATTAAAATTAGACCTTTCATCTCGCTCCTCGTTATATTGATATGTCGCTTCGTGAAAGGATCTAACGCAAGCCGGTTCAGGTCACGTTCTGGTGACCTCATGTCATAACCTTTCCTAATTAAAATTCAGCCAATGAAATTGTCTGTTTCTTTATCCAGTCGGTATAACATTCAAGATGGCGTCATACGACAACGTGGTTGAGATGTTTAATGTGAATGAATTAAAAGACCAACAGAAAGAGATACTGGATTCGATTTTAAGTAAGAAGCACACGGTTGCTGTTTTGCCTACAGGTTATGGGAAGTCTCTACCATATCAGATGTACATCCCTGTATTGAGAGAGAGCCATGCAGAGACACCCAAGGTGGTGGTTTGTTGCCCTCTTGTGGCTTTGATGGAGGACCAAGTGAATCGTTTAAACAGGTCTGGTACAATCACTAAATTTAGCTACGTAGCTTGATTTACCTTCATAGCTTTATTTACCTACCTGAGGTAGCTTTATTTAGCTACCAAATTGATCTATTTCTATTAAAAAGTATTTTTCTCGGGGTCTGCAGACAATATCATTTTGATGCAGTGATCATTTTCAACTTTGAACTCATCTGAAAACAGCTCATGAAAAAATCCTTCTTGGAAAAGAGTCTTTTTCTGCGCAATTGTAATCAAAGTTCTGAAAGTTTTGGGGCTATGTATGACAGTTAGAACAGTTACTCCTTGAATGAAATGACAAAGAAGTCCAGTTCCGGTTAACATGATAATAGGTCGGTAATTATTCAGCACAATGTGAAGTAATCATACTCAGTCATGCCTCACCGACCCTCACCGTATGGTCAGATAACCAAACAATGGAATTACATGTTTTGCTCTAAATTGTCCAAACGCAGCAATGTATAAACTATCTCTGCTTTGAATTGTTTTCTAAAGCCACCCTATTAAAAATATCACTAGTCATTTAATTGCGACTTTTTGTCTCTTTTTAATAAAAAGAAAACTTTTGAAAATTTACCTAAAAATAGCTAAATAAAGCTACCTGAGGTAGGTAAATAAAGCTACGTAGGTAATTCTACCTACGTAGCTAAATCTAGTGATTGTACTGGACCTGTTAAAGGGGGTGGCAGGCCTCAGAGTAGAGTATAAAGGTATTTAATAGATAATGCATTCAGTAACAGGTCCATCGCAATCAGTTACTATTTTTAAGGTCCGGTAATTGCTTTATACCTGAGGTAGCTTTATTAAGCTACCAAAACAATTTATTTCTATGAAAAATAATTTTTCTTAGGATGTACAAAAAATATTATAATGATGCAGTGAGCATTTTCAACTTTGAACTCGTCTGAAAACAATTCATGAAAAAATCCCACTTAGAGAAGTGTCTTTTACTGCTCAATTGCAATCAAAGTTCTGAAAATTTTGGGGCTATCTAAAACAGTTAGAACAGAACAGTTACTCCTTGAATAAAATGACAAATAAGTTCAGTTCTGTTTAACACAATTATTAATATGTTGTTAATGAATTATTGAGCACAATGTGAAGTAAATCATTCTCAGCCATGCCTCAGAGCACGCACGAGGTAGGATATATTATATAGAACGTTCTATCATTAAAATGATATTGTCCTAAGGACCTGGTTCAATATAGAATTTGTTCTGTGTATTTGTAATGTAGCAAAATAAACATGGGTAATAACTCGTACTCAGTGCATTTACAACTGTTTACTACAAACAATCCAGAGAGTTCCGATTGTAAGCATGGCAGGTAAATTTAAAGCGAGAGAAAAATGCTGAAAAAATTCATTGGATTTTCGTCTTTAAATGGATTATTTTTTGGGATAAAAGGCATATGCAATCTCAAAAAGGTTTGTTTTGAATAATTTGGTAGTTATTTCCTGTGCAAATCCTTTTATACTCTTCAAAATCATTTCGGAGCGGATCCCCTCCGATTTGCTACATTGCAAGTATATGGGACACATTGTAAATGTGGTGAGGGCTTGTACCGAGACACAGTTAGATTATACCCCCCGCAAACGAATAGCTACAAAAAATCAACCTCAATTACCGGTAGGTAAAAACAGTTATGTATGTGATTTAAGCCCCAGTAATTGCTTAATCTAAGAGTGATTTTGTGATTACACCACAACTGCATAAATAAAGCAACAAGTTCTCAATAGAGGTATCAACTAAAGTCGCTTGGTCCTATTGAGATGAATATTTTTCTTGCAGCAGCAGCATATTGACAAATATTTACATTTCGTCAGTGTGTTGTGTTTCATTTTTAACAATAATATTGATCATTGCAAACATTATTGAACAGGTAATTCTATAGAAGGAGATGAGAGGATCAAGGCTGGGGATGTTGACATCATTTTTGCCTCACCTGAAGCCCTTGTTGGAGACCCTCAGTGGCGATGTCACATGCAGAAGTTGAATGTTGGTTTGCTGGTGATAGACGAATTTCATACAATAGCTACATGGTAGGTATTTATTTTTTACTTTCTGTTTTACAAAATTTCCAGGTATAATGGTAGAATTTATGGCAGTAAATTTAAATTTGCTGAGATGTGGACATTAATTTCCCTATCATTCTCAATGTTCTTAAAAATATTACTTCTAAATCTTATCTATCAACAATGGACACATTTTATAAGTACCAGGGTAATTTTTTCTGGTAGAGTTATGCTTGCATACTGTAACTGTGGGTAAACTTGTATGAATTTGATTACATGTAAATAAATTTAAAACCACATAATACAGACCAGTCAATTGCTGATTTAACTGAATCATTCTTAACAATTTTTTTTTTTGAACAGGGGTGGAGATGAGAGTGATGAAGAGGAATGCGTGTTCAGAAAATGGTTCCGTCATATTGGAGAGTTTCGGACATTACATCCATCTACTACCATATTAGCATTGAGCGCAACATGTACAAAAAAGATCAAGAAAAGGGTTTTGAAAGTTTTATGTTTAAATTCAGACGATGTAAATTTTGTTTCAGTCTGTCCGGACAAACCGAACATTAAGCTATGTGTAAAGAAGGTAGACAATGACATTGCCTCAGCCATGTACTGGTTAGTATCTGCTGGTAATTCTAGTACTATAAGTTTGCCAAAAATTCTCATTTATTGTAAATCTATCACAGATGTTGCTAATGTGTATCATTATGTGTACTCAGAACTAGACAAGAAAAATCAAATAGAGATGTTTCATTCAGAAACGCCGAGTGTAAAAAAGAAATATATTATTGAAGAACTTGCAAAGTCAGAAAGTGAATTGAGAGTTATTATTGCTACATCAGCATTAGGAATGGGCATAGATATTAGTTCTTGTCATTCTGTTATTTTGTATGGCCCACCTACAAGCATTGTAGATTTTGTACAAGAATTAGGTAGAGTAGGTAGGGATGGCCAACCATCATGTGCCACTCTTTTATACAACTCTCAGCAAGTTAGACATGTTGACAAGGAGGTTAAACTCTTTGGATTGTAATTCTTGTAGAAGGAAGAATCTGTTGTCACATTTTTTAGAAGAAACAGAATTAGTTAATTGTATTAAAACAACCACTCATCTTTGTTGTGATATGTGTGAGGAGAAGTGTGACTGTGGCGGGTGTGAGAAGGGCGAGTTAGAGACTTTATTAGAGGTAAATGAATGTGCTAATTGTGATGATGCTGTGGAAGATAGTGACACCGACACTGATTTGTATTATAATGAAGATGAATTTTCAGATGATGGCTTTAATGCTTCTATAGATTATGTGAATATATAATACCAAATTGTGTGTAAAGAAGGTAGACAATGACATTGCCTCGGCCATGTACTGGTTAGTATCTGCTGGTAATTTTAGTACTATAAGTTTGCCAAAAAAAATGTATTATTGAAGAACTCGCAAAATCAGAAAGTGAATTCGAGTTATTATTGCTACATCAGCATTTGGAATGGGCATAGATATTAGTTAAATATATTCATACCTAACTTTGGATATTTGTATTTTACATTCTGCATTATCTCAGCACTTTTTTATGAATACAATGTATTGTATATAAGATGTCAGATTTCAGTTATGAATTTGCCTGCATCCTGACCCATCACAAGAGACGTCAAGCATTAGATGATGACATATGTACAACCTTGTCCTGATAAAAATGCATATCCAATTCTTGTAATATTGATTTCCTAATAAATATTTATGTACATTCCATTAAGTTTGTTATGACTTCTCAATAAATGTAATTTTCCATCTCATGTCTACCAATTTGGTTACCAGATTTTTCAAACACAGGATACACAACTACTGGCTTTTCCAAAGGTAAATGTGCCAACTGAGATGTAAAATTTTCGCTGACTTTGTACTATCAAGATTATTCCTTCATTCATTCCTTCATTCATTTTGAAACTCGATCAGAGTCAAAATTTCCACAGCTATGTGTTATCAGTTATTTTGGTAGGGTGAGCTGTCACAGTTGTGCATATTAAGAAAATATAGGGGAAAATATGATGATTAAAAAGGACCATAGTAACTCTAATGAGTGTTGTGACTCATAGGCCTTCTGCTTTAATATTCCTTCAACTTCTCCAATAAAAAAAAAAATACATGATACATAAATATTTATGTTTAATGAAAGTTGGCATTCATATGAAATTTTGAAGGTACAATATTAGCTAAATGCAGTATTTTGCTGTTTGCAATCAATGAAAGACAATATTACAAGCATTTAAAAACTCATAATTCATATTTATATTCAGGTTCATAAACCCTCTGCTCCTATAAAATGTTGCTTGAACCTTAATGATTTTCCAACAAAAATGTATTTTATAACTAAATTACAAACAATTATATCATAGCTTGCAGGGCAAAATTGGACAAAAAAGGCACTTTAACTTTGGCAAATCTATAATAATAGACATTTATGCCATTAAGAGTTGTCTCTCTTATCTCTCTTATCAGAGTACCAATGAACCTTAATATGCTTATGTCAAAAATAAGTTCACTAATACCATTTTATACACTTCTATTAGTAATTCGGATTTCTTTGTCTGCTTAATGGAACCGAAGGTTTGTGTCTTCTGATCAAGGAAGGCAGATTATGATAGGTTTCACGAAAAGGGTCCCTATTACATTTCAGGCCCTTGCAGCCAAGTTTTAGACCAGTCTTTAATTCCAAAGCGCCAATATCCTTCAACTCCTTCATTACTTTCTGTACATCAGCCTTGTACTCTGGGAGTCTTTGAAAGCCTTTTCGTGTTCTAACTTGAGAAACAATGTCAAATTGGTTGGCAATATTAATAAGATGAGGAAATCCCTTGGAATGAGATATAATACTTGTTTTCGTTTGATTACCCTTCATGTTCGATGTTGTAATCTTAAGAACTTGCCCAGTTTTAAATTTGCTCAAGGGCTAAATTAAAACGTGGGCAAATATAATGTAAATGAAAAATATCTAAATGAAATTTGTTTTATTTTTCAGACAATTTGTTTGGGCACAAATGCCCGGAACTCCCAAAGGGTTATTCTGGCCAGTGGCTGTGGGGGAGGAGGGGGGGATATTACAGTAAAAGCGACGATGTACTGTAAGTACCCGGGGTACTTAAAGGTACTTGGACACAGATTTAAAGTTAATATTTTCTGAATATTTCTGTATAATATCACGAATTATATATTTTAATAGCATTTCACACAACAATTAATTAAAAATCTTATTTCATCTTAGTTAAAATCTTAGTTTACCTACCTCGTCATTGGTCATTTGAAAAATTATTTTGTTAAAACAGATTCTGATTGTACACATAAGTACTCTGAAGTTGACATCAAGAAGATGCTTGAGTTTCTGATTGACAATATCTATGTGGTTTTTGGAGACCAAGTATTCCAACAATCTATTGGAATTCCCATGGGTACAAATTGCGCTCCGTTATTAGCAGACTTATTTTTATATTCATATGAAGCAGAATTTATGCAAAATCTTTTGCATGAAAAGAAAAAAACACTTGCTGTGGCCTTCAACTCGACATTTAGATATATCGACGACGTATTGTCAATTAATAATGATAATTTCCATTCCTACGTCGACACGATATATCCTGGTGAGCTTGAGATAAAAGACACCACAGAGTCCGACACTTCTGCTTCATACTTGGATATTTTACTTGAAAAAGACACAAATGGTAATCTAACAACCAAGCTATATGATAAACGTGATGACTTTAACTTTTCTATCGTCAACTTCCCTTACTTATGCAGCAATATACCTTCATCACCTGCATACGGAGTATTTATATCTCAGTTGATTCGATACGCAAGAGCATGCTCTACGTATGAACAATTTCTTAAACGAGGTAAATTATTGACAAGCAAGTTGATGAAACAAGAATATCAAAAGTCTCGTTTAAAGTCATCATTTCGTAAATTCTATGGTCGATACAATTACCTTGTCAGCAAATACAATTTATCATTGAATGAAATGCTGACTGACGTTTTTCATACCAATTGTTAGTCCATTATTTATACACTGAATTGACTACGGATTTTTTTCCGTTATTTCCTGATTATGACAATGAGCACACGGCGGGTGTGACCGGTCAGCAGGGGATGCTCACTCCTCCATGGCACCTGATCCCACCTCTGATGTTTCGGAGGTCCGTGTTTGCTCTGCTCTTGTTTTGTATATTTGTTTAATGGACGTTGAGATTGAATACTGTTCGTTATTTCCATATCCTTATTCATTTAAAAGTTATTAAAACTTTAAATTTTTGGCGGGTTTGATTGACACATCCTTTCACTTTCACAATTTTTAACTTTATTCTTAATCCTTAGGAAAAGTGGCAATCTTGTTGTGTATTAATGAGAAACATTGAAACTTAAATCCGGAAAATAATTTTATTTAGGGTAAAAATGTTAGAAAGCAAAACTCCTTCACAAGTATTGTCATTCCGTTGTGTACATAGTTTAGCATATCGAGCACACTCGTGTTATGTACACAGTTTTTGTAAACAGCGGGAAAGTTTTGTTATTGTTTGGTGTTTTGGTTCACCGGGTGCGTTTAAACGCCAAAGTCTGCTCACAACAACTACACGGACTGACAATATATTGTGTGTTTGTTTTGCTTTCGAACATGTCTACTCTGAATTTTCTGGATTATAGTATTAATATTTTTCATTAACAAACAACTAGAATGTCAATTTTCATAAGGATTAAGAATAAAGTTAAAATTTGTGAAAGTGCAAAGATGTGTAAATCAAACGCGCCAAAAAAATTAAACTTTTAATAACTTTTAAACGAAATAAAATTTTTAATTAATTTTTGTGTGAAATGCTATTAAAATATATAAGTCGTAATATTATAGAAAAAATATCAACTTCAAATCTGTGTCCAAGTACCTTTAACAGTTCTTTTGCTTCAGATAATTGAAACAATTAAGAGTTATCGTTCGTACAGTAGCAAGAACGACAACTGTAGAACGAGAATAGAGCATTACATGTGAATACAACATATTAAATTTTAAATAAATTTAAACAATTTAATGAAAATCCAGGTTTAAAAAATCAGTATTTTTTTTTTATTTTTCACCAACTTTACACAAAATTAAAAGACCCAATTGAAAGCAAATTTTGCGATTAATGTATAACTGATAGATATACTAGCATTAAAATTGAAATACTTTACTTTAATTTTCTTAAATGCAATTTACTTTAAGATTTTTTTTTTATCTACCTATTGATGATGCAATGCCTTTATCTACTAATGTATCTTTCATGCTTCTCGGGGGGCCTTGTTTGGAAAAAAATATTGTTTTATTTTCTATAAAAGAGACATGTCAAACTGTTTTCTGCGATCGCCCGTTGCGCGCACCTACGAAGTGAACAAGAATGAATATGACAGGTATCATGCAGATGCCCACTCCTGCTGGTTCTTCAAGTAAATACAACTGTACACTTATCGATGTTAGCAATTAAACAAATTTATAATACCCCTTTATTAATCACAAAGACTGGGACTGATAGCCTTTGAAACAATCTGTTGGTCACCTGGGTCGATGTTGATGAGGCACTCAAGTCAGTGTTTTGAATGCATTCAACGGATGCAATTGGACAAAGCCGGAGAAATCATAAGCAAAATTTTGAATGAAGACGTGATGTCAACATTAGCCTCTAGGGTAGTTAGTCAAAGAACGACGACAAGTCATCTCAAACGTCGCTGGCAACCAATGCACAGAGCTCGACAAACCCGCCATCTTTTCGAAAATTTGCCTTTCACAAGAGCAAATCTCAACGAACATTCTATCAGAAACCTTCAACAATAAGGTATTTATATAGTTTTGGTTAATACAAGGGACGTAGCATCCGGGGGGCAGGGGGGGGTGCCCCAAACATAACCTTTACTATAGTAAATGTGCAATGATAGAATGGTTGGCCCCTCCACTTTATTACCATAGCATAGTGAAAGCAAGGGGGGGGGGGGGTGCCCCAAACATAACCTTTACTATAGTAAATGTGCAATGATAGAATGGTTGGCCCCTCCACTTTATTACCATAGCATAGTGAAAGCAAGGAATGTAAAAAAAAAAATTGGAAGTGATAGTAAGTTGTCTTTGAAAAAGTTGGCCACTACCCTTATTTGGATGAATTATAAATAGGCATAAGAAGTCACTATCTCTCCCTTGTCTCTACTAGGACGGTGATTATAAATCACAAGTGTTCTATAAATTTCCTCATTTTTCAATATTGATAACGATTTAGTAAATATTGACAGATGCAATTGATTCAATCTGT